GAGGACCCATCCAGCAGTCCTGGGTTTATACCCAAAAGCACTAGAAGCAGAGACTCAAATGTTTGAACACCTCTGTTTGCGGCAGCGTCTACAGCAGCCAAAAGGTGAAACAACCCAAGTGCTCACTGAGGTCTGAATGGGTAAACCAAATGTGTTATACATACAATAGAACACTCTCAGCCTTACAAAGGCAGGAAATTCTGACACATGCCACAACACGGAATAATCTTGAAAACATTATTATGCCAAGTGAACTAAGCCAGTCACAAAACGACAAGTGACAAATACTGTATGATTCCACTTACGTGCGATACCCAGAGTAGTCAAATTCAGAAAGTAGTCAAAGACAGAAAGCAGAATGATGGTTGCTAGGGGCTGAGTGTGAGGGGAGAGACGGAGTTAGGGTCTAATGGGTACAGAGTTTCCATTTGGGGAGATGGAAAAAGTTATGGAGCTGGATGGCTGGTGATCGTGACACAACAGTATGAATGTCCTTAGTGCCACTAAACTGTACACTTAGAAATGGTAAATTTTAAATATATTTTACTACTAGTCCTACTACTACTACTACTACTACTACTACTACACACACACACACACACACACACAGGGACAATGAATTTGGATGACAATTGGAAGTGAGGGCAAGTGGGAAAATTTCCCTGATTCTTAGTAGCAAGTTTAGCCATTACCTTCACTCACCCATTCGTTCGTATTTTCATTCAATGAATGTTGAATAAGTACCTTCCATGTGCCAGGCAGCATTCTTGGTACAGGAATTGTAGCAACTGACCAGCAACTTCCTTTGCAACCTCCCTACTAGAGGAGGATGTTTAAGTGGAGGTCAGTCAACCAAGGAAATTCCCAATAGAAAGGAAGATTGCAATTACTGCCCAAAGGTACAGTCGGTTTCCCATGTCAACGTTTCCCAGCTCTCGAGGCGGACCCAGATGTAAATGAGTGACCCTTGAGTAAAATGAAAGATTTGGCTTAGCAATGGAGAGTACATTTTGCAATGTCTTCAAAGGCTCTGGAGGTTGGCATTCCAATTTCAGAGTTCAAATGGCCAAAACTTTGTGAAAACAAAAAGCCTAAGAAAATGTTTGCAAAGAGCTGTTGAGCAGGCTGCTTGTTTGTTTATTTGTTTGTTTCCCCTCCCCGCTTTCTTTCTTTATTCTGATTTGGGCCATATCATGTGACTAACTTAAGTGGCCATCGCACGGGCCACACATGCTGAGCTCTTCAGCATCACAGTCAAGTGGCTTCCGGCACAATGCTGGGCACTGACTTTTTTTCAATTGGTCTAAAGTCAATATTTTTGTGAGTGCAGTTATTTGTGTCAACATTTTAGCTGAGATCACTGTGGAGTGTGAGGCCACCTTTAGCTGGCCTCTCAATGAACTTATTCACCAATATTCTAGCTCTAATCTAGACACTAGGCCAGAGTTCTTGCCCTCAAAAAGCTCACAATCTAGATATTTTATTAAAAATCAACAACCTCGTAATTATTAAGGCATTTGGAACATCACACGTGGGTTGCTCAGAAAGTCAATCACAAAATCTACATGTAGTCACATCCTCTTTATTTGGCTAATATTTGTATGGTGTTTATTATGTGCCAAGCATTACTCTAAGGATTTTGCACATATTTAACCACTTTATGCCTATAACAACCCCATGAGGAAAAAAGTCTTATGAGACCCATTTCACAGATGAGAAAACTGAGGCACAAAAGGTTAAAGCGTTGCATAAGATGGTGTCTAATATGCAGCCAAGCCAGGTAGTCTGGCTTCAAGGTCTAGGTCTGTAAGTACCACACTAAGAGGCCTCCCACTCAGCTTTGGGAGTGACAGTGAATAGCAAACCATGAGATCCTGAGCATGAATTAATTGAAAAGATTATTTTAGGCTGAGTCCAAACAACAGGGTTCATAAATGTTATCTTGTGGGAGGAGGAGGAATTTACTGGCTAATTTGTTATGTGGTTTAAAGACTTAGGTAAATTTTATTTTATTATACCACAATAATGTAGTCCTAGTATTTTCAGCTTCTAAAATAGACAATGGTAGCCCTAGCTGGTTTTGGCTCAGTGGATAGAGTGTCGGCCTGTGGACTGAGGGGTGCCGGGTTCAATTCTGGTCAGGGGTACATGCCCAGGTTTCAGGCTCTATCCCCAGTGGGGGGCGTGCAGGAAGCAGTCGATCAATGATTCTCTCTCATCATTGATGTTTCTATCTCTCTCTTCCTCTCCTGTCCTCTCTGAAATCAATAAAATATTTTTTTAAATAGACAATTGTACTCATCACTGCTCATAACCTTGTTTAACACAGCAATTTAAAGTTATTTGTTTTGTATGAGTAACATGGCTCTAACACGAAAGTTAGTTTATGGCTATAGAAAACTTCCCTCTATGTTAAAATCTGATTAGGATAAAAGGGATTTTTTTTCCTAAACAGGCAGCAGAGTTTGGAAACATTTTTATTATCTTCCATGAGTCATGGTTGCAGAATGGTAGGGTGGTTGAGAGATCAAATCTAGGTTCAAACGCTCCACTCACATTTATTGAGCCTTGGTTTCCTTATCTATAAACTGGAGATTATAACAGTACTTGCCTCATGAGCAAGCGTGAGGATTAAGTGAAATAAGGCGTAAAATAATAGGTAAAAGGATTACCCAAGTGCCTGGCCTGATATCTATCAGCTGTCAGTAAATGTCCAACATTATATTAATTGCTGTTGCTCTGATTCAGAAATTTATTGGATTTGCCAAAAACCTGTGATCTGCTAATTATTTGCTCTTGAAAAGGGGAAAAGTGATTCTGTTACTTGTAGACATTGTCCTGGAGCCACCTAAAATAGCAGGGTGTTTTATTGTTTGTTTGTTGTTTTTTGTTAATCCTCACCCGAGGATATTTTCCCATTAATTTTTAAAGAGTGGAAAGGAGAGGGAGAGACAGGGAAACACCAAGGTGAGAGAGGCACATCAATTGGTTGCCTCCTGCACACCCTGGGCCAGGTGTGTGCCCTTGATGGGAATCCAATCCAGGACCCTTTAGTCCAAGGTCCAACACTCTATCCATTGAGCAAACCGGCTAGGGAGCAGGGTATTTTCCACATCTTGTTTTAGTTGTGAAATTTGTTTCAAAAGGTGCCAAAACATGCACAAGAAAATCTTTCTCTGGAATTGTGTATATTGGAAAAAGAGGAAGTGTTCACTGGAGTTCTATTTTTTTTCTGAAAAAAATTTAAAAAGTCGGGGGTTGTCCATCTGACTATGAAATTGGGGGCAAAAGAACCTGTTGTGAGCGTCTTTTTATTGTTGGGCTGTTTATTTTTACCGTTTGCTACTCCACATTTTTTCCTTTTCAAAGCATTTTATCAGAGGATTCATTCTGCCAATAACGCACACATTCCCGATCCTCAAGTAACCTGCGAGTCCCAAGTAAGCATAACCCCGTCCTGCTGACCCAGAGGCAAATAAAGATCAGAAAACATGCCAACTCGAGGAACAGGCCCTGGGGCAAAGCTGTATCTGGCTTCCAGGCTCGCCCTCCTCGGCTCTGACCCACCAGCGGCGGGACCTAAGAAAGGGGAATCGTGACACTGTGCAGGTGGAGAGAGGAGGGCACTGGTCCCTCTCCCCACCACCCAGCCTCCAGGTGTCTTCCTTCCCGACCCACTCCGTGGGCATCGGGGTAAAGTGCCAGGGAGATCCCGGGTCCGTCCAGGTGGAAATCCTGGGCTGTTTCCCTTGGAGCAGCGCCTGGGTCCCGGGAGCAGCCTCCGCGCCACTCTGGAGCATCCCACGCCCCCAACTGAGGTCCCGCCTATCCCCGCCCCGCTCCAGCCTCTAGGCCCCGCCCACAGGCCCGCCGCGGCCTGTCATTGGTGGAACGGCGCGTCCGTCGGCCGCCTGGCGCCTGGTGGGGAGCACCGACCGCCCTCCGCGGCCCCGCGCCTCCCACCCCGCCCGCCGCTGGGAAGCGATCCCGGGCCTGGCGGCGGCCGCAGCGGCTACTGACCCACCGGCGAGGCTCGGCGCCCGTCCGCAGCGCGCGGCCCGCATGGCGGCGCAGAGGAGCCCCCCGCGGGCGCGGGAGCGGGAGCGGGACCGGCCTGGCGCCCTGGCCTCAGGTGGGTCCCGGGCGGGGTGGGGGGACCCCGGGCAGCGTGGGGCGCCCTCTCGCCCGCCGGCCAGTCCCGGGTTTGGGGTACGAGTCCCGCGCTCGGAGGGGTGGCAGACTGGGGGCCCCTGACCGGGGCGGAGGCGGTGTGCACCCCCACACCCTGCAGGACTGGGCCGCCGTCGGGGACCGGGTCGCCTCGGATTAGGAACTGCGTCTTCGGGAGGCAGAGCTGTTTGGGTCCGGGCAGCCAGAGACCGGCCTCGGCGGGGAGGGCAGGTGCCCGGGGAGAAGCCGCCTTGCGGGGCGGGGCGGGGCGGGTGGGGGTTCCGGGGAGCGGCGGGGTCCCCCTCGGCGTCCCCTCTGAGAACGTGATTGTCGTCGGAGGGAAGTTGATGGGTTTCGCGCGTTGCTGGCAGAGGATGTGGCCCACACCTTTACTGCGAGCGAGACTCGCGAAACAACAGAAAATTGGCTTTTTAACAACAGTGTCACCAGGGACCAGAGCAGCAGCGCCGTGTGGCCCAGGTCGCTGAGGTCTGGGGCGCGCCTGGGCCTCGGGGTCCCCGCCCTCTGCGTTGGCAGCGGGGTCCTCACCTTAGACGTGAAGGCTTTTTTCCAGGCCATCCTTCTGGTCTCAGCTCCGAGAAGGTGGGCACCACTGCTTCTCCACTCTGAGCACCTTCCCCTTCTGTAGCTCTCTGGTGACCATTCCAGGGGTGTGAGCCCACCGCTGAATTTGGGGAGCCTGCCTTTTCCCTGCATTTGGGCTCCAGGTTCTGTAGCGTTTATGGGAAGTTGGCAGGTGCCAGGTCTGCGTATTGATTGCTGTTCTTGGTCCCAGCAGGAGCTTTTGATTCACAACAGCAAACAGCTGGGGCTTTTGCTGTCGGGTGCAGTGGAAACAGCACCATTCTGGGAGGCAGGACGTGAGTTTTAGGCATCATTTTGTCCAGGACTGTGTGCCTAGAAGCCATAACCACTCTGGGCTTCCCTGTCCTCACCTGTAAAACAAGGGCGTTGGGCTAGCTGGACCCCCCAGGGCCCTCCCAGTTGAGAGTTCTGTGATCGACTTACCTCCCACTCTCAAAAGTTTGGAGAATAAACTCATTTTCCAACCTCTCTGCACCTTGGATTATTATAGAATTAGCCAAATATTTCCTGTGGGTGTATTCGTTTGAACTTTTCATTATGTTATTTTCTTCCCTTCTCCCTGCCTTATCTTGGCAGAGAAAGCAATGTTGGAAATAGAGGTAGGGTCACAGCTGGAAAAAGCTGCCTTGAGAGGCGGAAAGGTGCCTACTCTGGGCTTAACGTAATCGCCAGGAATGTTTCCTTCCAATGCACCACGTTCAAGGTGTGCCAGCACCGTGGGCCCAGCAGGAATTCTTTCCCCTGCTCCAGCCTGTGGGGCTGCAGTTGGTGCGTGGCGGTGGAAGAATGCGATTCAAGGATCAGGTTATGGAAAACTTTCCTCTCCCAAACATAACCTCCGAGAACGTAGGAGCATAGTTTCCCTTCTTTGTCGGGGCTGTTTGGAAAAAACAAAGTTTAAAATCACTTGTCAAAGCTAGGATGCCACAGCCCTTTAACCTACCCCTAAGCGAGGGACCAAGGTTTGCTTCTGAGATAATAGCAAAGGATAACAAGGGATACTTGACAACAGAAAGCAAACGGGCAATAGCAGAAAACTCACAAAGTGGGCAGGGGGATTTGGTAGCCATCTTTACCGTTTCTTTTTAAGTGAGTGGTGGCTCTTCTTCACCACTATCCATCCGTTCGTTTAGGAGAATCGTAAGGGAAGACTGGAGGCTCAGAGTTTTCTGTCGGTGTTCTCAGGAGCCTTGGAACTCCATGGTGGTCCCTCGGGGCTGGCCTGGCTGGGAGAGCCGGGAGCAGGATTGCCCAGTGTGGAATGGGGGACCATCAGCCGGATCCCCCCCACTCCAGCTATATACGGAGCAGCTGTACTGCCACCCTCCTGGTTTATATGCTGTTCTGGGTAAGATTTGGTTTGGAGCGAAGAGTCTAATGCTAAACAAAAGTTTAGAAATAAAGGTCATGGCTAATGTGTTTGAGTGCTGCTTGTGTGTTAGCTCATTTATTGCCTATAAAGTGCTTAGAACCGTGCGTGGCCTACAGTAAGTACTCAGAGTAGCTGCTGTTATTACTATCATTACCTTATGCATGAGGTAGTTGTTCATTTTAATCCCCATTTAGGAAATTGAATCACATGCAAACTGGTACAAGACCCCTCCTTCTCACCTAGACTTTTCTGCTAATTAAAAAGTGTATTTCTTTTTGTTGTTGTTGTTAATCCTCACCTGAAGGTTTTTCTGAGAGAGTGGAAGGGAGGGGGAGAGACAGAGAGAGAGAAACATCGATTAGTTGCCTCCCGAACGTGCCCTGACCGGGACCAAGGATTGAGCCTGCAACCCACGTAGGTGCCCTTGACTGGAATCCAACCGGGACCCTTCAGTTCACAGGCGGACACTCTAACTACTGAGCCAAACTGGCTAGGGTGGAACGTGTACTTCTTAATGTCTTGGATTCTTTTATTCCAAAGCCATTCAAGGGTGGCTGGCTCTATGTATGAAGCAGATGTTTCCGACCTGCCACGAGCAAGCAGTCTGGCCTGCTTCCTTGGGGATCACAGGTACCACACTAGGCAGGCAGGTGAGTTTACCTGGTGAGTTAAAGAGAGAGGGCAGATTGGAACCCACTGGCTGGTCAGCGGCAAGCCGAGATGAGGATTGTGGGGTACAGACTTTCCCTTCTCAACACAAGTCTGTGCTTAGAATTGTGCCCTTATTCTAGAACCTTATTCCAGTGCCCTCAAAGCCTTGCTCTCAAGGAGTGGAACTGGGAGCAGGAGGGGCACTGGCAGTGGGCAGTGTGTGCCAAGGGGGAGGGGGTGAGTAGCTGTGGTACTTGGTGTGCTAGTCATAACCTTAAGGAGAAATATTTTCCTTCCTTAAAAAATAGTTTGAGCCCTAGCTGGTTTGGCTCAGTGGATAGAGCATTGGCCTGCGGACTGAAGAGTCCTGGGTTTGATTTCAGTCAAGGGCACATGCCTGGGTTGCAGGCTCTATCCTCTATAGGGGGCATGCAGGAGGCAGCCGATCAATGATTCTCGCTCATCATTGATGTTTCTCTCTCTCTCTCCCTCTGCCTTCCTCTCTGAAATATACTTGAAATACACTTGAAAATATACTTGAAAAATAGTTTGAGGACTTAGGAAAAAAACAAACACTGCAATTAAACACACACACACACACACACACACACCAGGATGCTTAAAGCCAATGGTCCATAGTTGTTTTTGCAGCCTGTTTGCCCCACTTTATACTTCTACTCTCAACCTTTCTGTTAGATTAAGTGCCAAATAAAATGTAACTTTTGGTACCAGGTGTTTTAGCTAAGTGGACATTCTTGACTGGCATAATTATTAAATTGACAGTGACCTTTCTTCACCTGGCTCCCTGGAGTGGGTAGGTGCTGTCCTATGTACCTGTAGCACCCAGTGCTGTCCCCGTCACAATAACGTTGGACATTTTCCTTCTCTTCTTGGTGCTGGATGCGGAAACCATGCCCACGGGTAGTCTTATGTAATCTTTCTAAGTGCCACTTTGTGACGCTCAGAATGATTATGGAATTTGCTCAAAGTTTCCAGCTAGTAAGTGGTGGCCAGGATTCAAACCCTGGTGGTGTGACTCCACCCACAACAGACTCGTAACCACCGTAACCACCCGCCTGCTTCTGTCTCCTGAAACTGTGCAGGCTTATACCCGAGAGCACTCTAGTTCCCAAGGTTACGGCATCACACTTACGCGGTTCTAAAGTAAAGTTGGGTTATCATCTTTATACCATTGTTGTTGCTGCAGGTATCTCTCAGGTCTGAGGTTCAGGAGAAGAGAGATTATGAAAAGTTATCGTCAGCCGCTAAAATTTCCTGCAGGCACAGCTCCTCACACATGGCTATTGGAGTCTCTGGAACTCGGAGGAGTTATCAGACCAGTTGTATTTGGCCTTTCTCTCCTGTCCACTTGAATCCTCCGGTTCAGTTGCTTGGGACAATCCATTTTTGAAAATCAAGGTTGTATACCATACCCATTTATTGATTTGTAATTATTTTAATGGAAGAATATTTAGATGTCACGTCACAATAAACCAACAGAGAAAAGTTTTTGTTTACACACTCATTTTGCCAGTAATCTTTTGTTCTAGTCATGCTCCATTTTTCTACTTTTTCATTTAATTGGAGCCAGAATAGACAGGTGGTATCATGTTTAAAATAAGAATATAGAAAAATGTTATAGGTCCATTTCTAGGACATCAAGAGTACTGTTAGTGCTGTCGCTGGTATTCCCAGGTAATAAACCCAAATCACAGAAATTGTAGCACATAAAATGCTATGCTTGCTAAACTCTGAATTGAGAATTTAAGTCTTTCGTTGTTGATTTAACCAGGTGACTCTCACTTTCAGTCTATGCAGAATTGTTGGATGATAGATACATGGTAATTTAAAATAACTTATTAAGTCTTTCTTTGCTTGCCCTGTTACTGTTTTGTAAAAAAAATATTTTTATTGATTTCAGGGAGGAAGGGAGAAGGAGAGAGAGAAACTTCAATGATGAGAGAGAATCATTGATTGGCTGCCTCCTGCATGCCCCCTACTGGGGATCGAGCCCACAACCCCCGCATGTGCCCTCGTTCAGAATTGAACCTGGGACCCTTCAGTCCACAGTCCGATGCTCTATTCATTGAGCCAAACCAGCTAGGGCTGCCCTGTTATTGTTTTTTTAATGAATAATAGGGTTGGTCTTCTAAGAGGGGGACTAATAAAGTAATTGGAAGTCAGTTTCTCAAGGGAGACCTGGCCCCATTCAGAGAGAAGCAGAATCTTATTCAGTGTCAACGGTTGACTGTCAGGAAAAGAGAAGCAAGGCTGCCCGCTCTGGTCCCCATTACAGTGAACGTGAGCTCCCTGCTCTCCAGGTTGGGACAGCCTCAGCATACAGACCAGCTCCTGCGTGGCTCAGGACCGAGGTGGGCTGGGTGCTGGTGGAGGGAGTTCATCAAGGCACATGCTTGGAACAATTTGTGTCTCCTCCTCTAAGCCAGGACAGGGAGTGTTCCTCGGAGCATTTAGTCTCCTAAGACTAAGAGAAGTGAACAAAATTCTTTCTTACCTGGTAAAGAGAGAATCTTTCCTTAAGTCTTAGAATAACGCCTGGCAAATCATAGGTGTATGTATTTGTTGACCTGTGGCAAGACGGCCTCGGCTTTCCTGTGTGATCGCTAAAGTGCCATGAGAACTCAATGCTCTGTGTCTTCCAAGTCGACTGCTAGGACAGGTCGAAAGGCCGTGCAGGAAGCAGAAGGGCTGATAGGAAAGGAGAAGTGGAAGAGATGGCAAGCCAGTGCCTGCGTGGGCTGAATGTAATCAGTCCCTATCTAGGCATGAGGGGCTGGATGGCACTGATGTCCATGGACAAGATCAGATCTTTGTCACTTTACTTGGCATTTAAAAAATGAACACGGAGTTCAGTTTGTAGCTAAGGATTAGTTTGGCTGCTCACTTTAAAGTGCAAGCGTAGCCAATGGAATTATTAGTATAAACATTGGGTCTCGGTTTTGCATCTGAAACAGAGAGAAGAATCATCTGAACTGAGAGAGAGTTTATTAGGTCGGTTTTCTCCATGATATATCTCAGTATTCAGTTCTGGGTACTTAGCTGATTGTCATGATAGACCTTGTACAGCCAATGCTTGCTGACCTGCCTGAATGTCATTTTGTCATGCTTTAATGTTCCAGTGTCTTCTCCCATTTATACCTCGTTGATTGATTCATTCAAAATGTGGAGCCTACAACACGTGACTCCCTCTTGCCCCTGTCCCAGTCTTTTCTATCTTCCTTTTTTTCTTGCTATTTTTTGGAAACTGGTCACCTCCATGGAAGGCTCTTTATCAAAACTATGGTTCAGGTCAACCTCTGAAGGTTGGAGTACTTGCTAGTATTTGTCAAGCTCTCAAGTGTCTACTGTACATGCTCAGGGCATATTTCCTGTGGTGCGAGTTCTGAGGAGTATTTTGAGTTTAGTTGACCTTCAGTTGCCTCACAAATACTTAAAATCCTGTGCCTGGTGCCCGGATGTGTCTACCTCCAACAGAACTCTGAAGCACATTAACATAAAGAGGCCTTTAGAGGATGAAAGGAAATAGTGGTTAATGGCTTGGCCCCCTGGTGTCTGCTCAGAGGGGAGGAAGCTGAGGTCCAGAGCCGCCCAGTTCTCCAGGACGAGACCCTGAGTTCCCGACTGCCTGGTGCCTGCTCGTTCCACTACCTTCCCACCATCCCACTAGGTGACCACTTCACATTCTCACTTCCTGCTTCCCATTGTCGTACGTGTAGTTAAGGGAAGAGAAAACACACTGGCGGCTCCCTGTTTCTGACATACGTGGTAAAAGTCGGAAGGGACCACCAAGATCAAGGCTCCTGGGTGGAATTATATGGTGGAATAACGGAACAATTCCAAACAAATGAATCAATTTCTCCCATGTCAGAGCTTCCAGGTGGCTCCCCGGGGCTGGAATGGGCTCCATGGTGTCAGAGGCCAGACTCTTTCCACTTTGTTTGTACCATGCATAGCTTCCACGCCCACAGTTACTCTGGTCCAGGATGGCTGCTGAACACCCATCATCACACTTACATTCTAGCTAGTCTGGAGGAGCAAGGGCAAGAAACACAGCCCTCTCAGCAGAGCCTTCTGAAGATTGCACACAACACTGAGCATTCACTCACATGGCTACATCCAGCACCTGCGGAGGATGGAATGTACTTTATTCTGAGTAGGTACATACCAGAGAGAGAGAGAGGACACTGGCATTTCTGTATTGGAGACATATGGACTAGATCTGGATTACCTGGATCCATTTTATTTATTCAGCAAATATTTATTGACGGCCCATAGTGTTGCTCAGCACCAAGAAAGCAGAGAGA